GTTCTGATGAACATGACAATGCGCGAGGGCACTCCCGTAAGGGAACATGTTCTTGCTATGATGGCCCAGTTGAATGAGCTGGAGGTTCTTGGGGCTTTTATTAATGGGGAAACCCAGGTCGATATACTGCTCCAGTCTTTGCCGAAGAGCTTCGAGCAATTCCGGTTGAATTACAACATGAATAAGATGTTGATGACTCTTCCGGAACTTGTTTCTGAACTTCAGTCGGCAGAGGGCCTGTTTCGTCAGAAGACCCAAACTATGGTGGCCCAGCGGGGAGAAGCTTCCACTTCTAAGGCTCCTAAGGGCAAGAAGAAGAAAAAGTCTGCAGGAAAGGGCAAGGCGGTCATGAGTGTCGCGTAACCTCGACAAAAGCCGAAGAAGCCGAAAGACAAGTGCTACAACTATCAGCAGAAAGGACACTGGAAGGCAAACTGCCCTCATCCCTAGAAACCCGAAAAAGGTACTCTTTTTGCTTTAGTCGTTGAAACATGTTTAGCGGTGTTATCTAGCAGTACCTGGTGTGTAGATACAGGGGCCACTGATCATGTCTGCAATTCATTGCAGGGGTTCCAGGAAACCAAGCGACTTAGGGAAGGAGAAGTTACCATCTACTTGGGCGATGCTAGTAGAGCGTCAGCAGTTGCAGTGGGAGACGTCTATTTAGATTTTGGCTTAGATAGGTTTCTATTTTTGAAAAATTGTCTTTATGTTCCCAGTTTTAGAAAGAATTTGATTTCAGTTTCTAAGTTGTTTATGAACAGTTTTTCCGCTATGTTTGATAATAAAGTTGTTATTCATTTTGGCAAAAAGTTCATATGTTCTGGTTCATTAGTTGACAATCTATATATTCTAGAATCTAAGTCATCTCCACTGCAACAGAAACAATTACTTAATTCATCATCTAATCTGAATAAGAGAAATGAACCTTCTAAAATGAACGAAACATATCTTTGGCATCTAAGAATTGGTCATATTAACCTTAGGAGGATTCAAAGGTTGGTAGCAGACAGGCCCTTGGGGTCGTTAAAAGTCGAGGCTTTTCCAACTTGTGAGTCTTGCCTGGAAGGTAAAATAACTAAGAGGGTTTTTAGTTCAAAGGGGCATAGAGCCGAAGATGTGTTAGGGCTAGTTCATTCTGATCTATGTGGTCCTATGAGTATTCAAGAGAGAGGTGGTTTCGAGTACTTTGTTACGTTTAACAATGATTACTCGAGATATGGGTACATTTTTCTTCTGCACCGCAAGTCTGAATGCTTTGAGAAATTCTTGGAGTATAAGGTAGTTGTGGAGAAGCAGTTAGGAAAAAGTATCAAGTCATTACGATCAGATCGTGGTGGTGAATATCTCTCGAATGAATTTAGGAGCTACTTGACGGATAATGGGATTACGTCCCAGCTGACTGCGCCTGGCATGCCTTAGTAGAATGGCGTAGCAGAATGGAGGAACAGGACTCTTATGGAAATGGTTAGGGCAATG